TGATCTCCCTTTTGACCCATTCTAAAGTTGTTTGTTATAAAAAAAAGTGAAGGGGAAATACAAGTGGATTAAGACTCTGGTTAATTCCTTCTGACCATAGACCAGGGATTTGAATAGTCTTGCTGTCATACAGAATGCTTTAAAAGTAGATTTTTTAAAAAAAGTAGATTATTGAAGATTCCATTGGGTAAAATTTGGCACCTTATCACTTGATCTCCCCTTTGACCCATAATACAATTGTTCTAGTTTTTAATATTTTCTGTTTTCTATTGAATCTTTTCTCTGTGTTACTTTGTTATTATTAGTTTTTTTCAAAAATGTTTTTCTGCATATGAAATCCAGGCTGGGCAGGTTTATAGTGACAGTACCTGCATGAATGGCTCCTTGGAGGTCTGACAGGGCAGGCTGGGGGAAAGGGAGAGCTACTCACTGAGTACAAGAAGGGAGAAGATGTCCCGGGGTTGATTGTTGGGGTGATGTACAACTCTTTTTAAGATGATTGAGTCGATAGGACAAAATACCCATTTATAGACTATCAAGGGCTCATGAGGGAGGGGGGAGCGGGGAAGGAGGGGAAAAATGAGGACCTAATGTCGGGGTTTAAGTGGAGAGAAAATGTTTTGAGAATGATGTACAAATGCGCTTTACACAATTAGTGTGTGTATGGATTGCGATAACAGTTGTATAAGCCTCTAATAAAATGTTAAAAAAAGAAATAGATAAATGGCTCCATGAGCCTTGCCTTTCTAAAAAAAAAAAAAAAAAGATGATTGAGTCATGTTAAAGTAAAAAAATAAATAAAAGGAATGAGCTTAAATACAGAAAAAGGAGGGGGAAGAAAGGCTGGGAAGGTGTGAGAGGAGAGGTGGGGGTTCCGGTCACTGTAAACTAAATATTGTGATGAAATACATAGAGCAAAAACGTATCCTTCCAGGCAGTTTCATGTGTTCAGTTCAGCGATGTTACTACGTTTACCATGTTGTCTACTGTGACTCCCACAACCCCTTTCCAAAGTTTTATGTCATCACAAACAGAAACTCAGCTGTAACTCCTCACGCCCCACCCCACCATCCCTGGAAGTCGCGAATACACTTTTGCCGCTGCACTTGCTTTGTCCAGATGTTTCCTTAAAAAGTGCCATCCTATACTATTTGGTCCGTTGTGTGACTAATTTCACTCAGGACAAGGGCTTTACGGATAGGGGTGACAATGTGGAACTGAGAGTAATCAACAGATCTTTTGAGTAGTTTCGCTGTGAAGAGGAAGAGGGAAGTGCAGGAAGGATGGCTGAAGTGGAATGTGAGGTCATGAAAGGATTCTTTGAAAGGTGAACTTGCCGAGCACTATTGATGGGTGACCGGAAGTGGTGACTATGAAGGTGACGAGGAGGGTAGTGGGAGTATTCATTGATCAAGGGATCTTTCCGTTCGCCAGGCTGTGGCTGGCGTGTTACTGTGATGCTTCCTGGAAGCTCTGCTACTGGTGCTTCCACTATCAGCAGGTGCACGGACTTCAGCCGAGCTTCCAGTTTAAGACAGGGTCAGGAGAAAGAAGGATCTGACCGTTGGAGTAGTCTTAAGTAGCAGTCTCTACTTTCTATCTAGGCTCTAGTAGCCTTTGCAATGGCTACATAGCACTCACAGACAGTCCTCATGATTAAAGGGTTTATTAAAGAAGTTAACAGGCTGTAATGCAAATGAGCAGTGCTCAGGCTAGAGTTGTCCATCGGGACATGTCACAAAGTTCTTTCAGGCTGCTAATAGATGCCCAAAGGATATCACTCTGCTGTAAAGCTCAACCTGAAGGCATTCAACTCAGCTCCTTGGGTCAGCAAACTTAGCTCTCTGACTTAAGTGCCCAGGGGCACCCTCACGTCACAGGCCAGCCTCCTGAGCAAAACCACTCATCTTGACGGCTCTGTGGGTCGGGAAGTCCCGGCTCTGGCTGCCGGTTCTGCTGCTGCTCCTCAGGTGTCTTCTGGCTCCAGGAGGTGCACTGTGAAAAGATCTTGGGTCCAGAGAGCGAGCCCCACTCCTGGCTCTTGATGGTAATGAGATTCCTCCCCCTGCTTCTCATAGGGCTCATTTTATTATTTTGTTGTCTCATACGATGACTGAAACCTCTTTATTCCTGTGATTCCAAAAGGGCACAAAACACACGTCTTGTCCATGCTTCCCTCTCTACCTCTCAGAGGGTTCATTTCATACACAGCAGGAAGGCACTTCAGGGAATCCTGGTCACAATTACTCACAGGTGAATCCTATCTGTGTCTTCCACACCGTCTTACCAGACCCCTGTAGGGAAAGATCCTTCAAAAAAGGCCATTGAAAATACTCAGGTAGCAGTGGAATATTGTCTGCCACAGTTTGGAGGGCACTGAAAACAGGGACTGTGGGCGAACTGCTCAGCCAAGATGGCGTGGACCTGACGGCACGGGTGCAGCCAAGCTTGGGGACTGATGTGTTCCCTGATGTGTTCACTGATGTGACATGACCCAAGAGGGGAAGAAACAGCTGCAAACATCCGTTAGCTACTGGAACATGGAATGAACGGAGTCTGAATCAATGAAAGCGAAAGCTGCCCAGAGAAAGTAGAACACTTGAAGATCGATGTTCTAGGCATCAGTGGTGAGCTGAAAGCGACTGGTATCGGCCATTTTGAATGGGACAACCAGACGGTCTCCCATGCCAGAATTGAGGAGGAAAGTCCCCTGGCGGTCATTGTCGGCAAGAACATGTCAAGACCTCCCCTGAAGAACGTTACTGTCAGAGACAGGCTCGATGACCACGCTCAGACTACACCAAGGGGATGTGCAGCTACATGGAGCGGAGATCAAGGGTCAAGAGGCCAGGTCCCGGGAGCGGGAGGCTGTGTGAATGGGCAGCCCCAAGGACGAGACGGGGTCAGTACGTGGGGAAGAGATGACGTGGGCACCACTTTCGTCAGGAGACTTGAGAACTGCTTTGGGCTCCCCTGCTGGCCCCACCCCAGCTCACTGGGAAGGCCAGCTGGCAGATGGAGCCTATCCAAGCTTGGTGGTGTGCAGCTGATTGGCAGGTGGCTTTGCTTGCTGGTGGGGAGTGGCAGAATCAATCAAACAGGTGCCCGTCCAATTAAAACTCTGACCTTGATCGTTACAGTTCAGGAAACCAAGGCCTGATGCCCACAGCTATCAGCCCATTTGGTGTCTCTGCGGGGGATGCCTGCTTCTGGTGTGTACATTTCTGAAACTGCACCCTCTCTCCCTGTCCTGTCCCCACCTCCTCCAGCTTAGGCGTCATGGTCTGACCCCCTGGAGGTCTCTGGGCCCAGGCCCCTGCCCCCTGGGGAGCCCAGCCAGCATCTCCAACCAGCCAGCTGAATTCCGTCTCTACCTCTGTTACCAGAGGGTCCTTGGAGGGAGAGGTGCCATGATGTGCTGGGGGACCTGTGTCCCTGGTGGCAGAGGTCAGGCGCAGGGCAGCTGTGGAACCCAGCATAGATGCTGGGCTTTTGCTGCAGTGACTGTGGGTGAGGTCTGTGTGCCCACGGGTGCCAGGCCCGGGAGGGGAAGTGAGCTCACGTTGGTGGTCCCGTGGTAGCGACAGTGGTCCTGAGCCTGGGCTGCAGCAGGCCGGTTTGAAGAGTAGCAAACCTCTATCCACTCTACACAGGCTGGCGGGAGGGTGGATGTGGGAGGAGCGCCCGGATGTCCACCTCTCTCCTCCCAGGGCGGGGCTCAGGGCCGGTCGCAGGGCACAGGGCCTTTTCTCCGCTCGCGGCTCAGCAGGGTCACCAGCTTGGCCTTGAAGCCCGTCTGCGCGCCCGGGCGGCCGCCGCCCGCCACCTCGACCTCTTCCCC